AAAATTACTAACAAGAAATTTGCTTCTGTCCTGGCTCAAACCAGGGCATGCAGGAATTTTCATACATTTCCATTGCAGGAATATTTCCATTAAAGAACAATTTTCTTGATTCCTTTTGTTCCATTTGTGTTTCTAGAGTCCATTTTCTCCAGAATTCTCAGTCAGTTGAGATCCCATTGGTAATTACAGCATCTTATATTTGCTGATATGTTTCATCAGAAATGAAATAGAAGTAACTTAAATGGAATAGTGCTGATTAGTTATCTGAGGCTCTGGGTTTATTTACAACATAAATTATTTCTTACATTGCTTTCATTATATTATAAACTTGTCAGATGCACAGATTGAAAGAACTCTTGTTTTGCTTTCAGGATAACTTTTGTCCATTTCTTGGATTGTAATAGGGGCTTTTTCTGAGATTATTTTGGACTGTTGGTGAAGAAGAGGGTCTCTCATCATATATTCAATTCTCACATTCGATTTCTGGCATGAGGAATTTCTTAAACCTAGAATGTGAGTTTAGGAAAAGTTGAAAATAAAGTGTTCCATTGTGTCTCTGTACACAAAAGTGATTATGCAGCCAGCAATTTATTTTTCTTACAGTGCCAGTGGAAGTTTAACGTATTTACTAAATAATTATAAATAGATGAAGGCTTTACTAAACAGTTTAAAAAATATAGTCTACTGTACTAGTGTATTTATATAACATCTCATACAGATACCCAGAGGGGCTGTTCATAAACCAATCATAAAATATACAGAAAATATCACCAGATTACCATCAGCATATAAAATAGCATTTAGAACTGAAATTTCAGGCTTTTCCTCCCCCTTCTTTATCTTTCTGTCTTTCTGATAGAAACTCACAGTAATAGGCCCTGCCATCTGCTGCTATATATTTTTCATGAGTTTTAACATTTTGTTTTTAGAACCTGAAAGATGAGTAAAATGTCAAGTCACCCAGAAAATAATCATAGGCATGACAACTCAAATGTTATCTCAGCTTGTCTGTACAAGAAGTGGTTCACAGCAGGTCTGTGCCCTCCCTCTTTGCACACAGAGCAGGCGGAGTAGGTACACCCTTGGTATTAGGTGATACATTTTTTAACACCACTGCGAGACTTCAGCAGATCTCCTATTGATTTTCATGAGCAATAATGGCCAAAAAAACAAAAGGCATTGCTTTCAGAGTTCATCATGTGGAAGGTGAACTTTGGATTTTCTTTAGAGTTTTGTGCTGTTTGGAATGTCTTATCCTGACTGTTGGCTTAAATAAAAAGCACTCATTGAGGCAAGAAGGTGGTAACTACACTAGCAAAGTTAATTCCCAGTAAACAAGTAAACTCTATGTTGCCCTATCAATGTCATGGGCTTTTTGCTACCCTCCTCCCATGTGAAGGCCTGGGTTCGTGACTCTCCTGTCAGCCCAGTAGCTGCAGTGTGCCAGGAAGGTGCAGCAAGGATCTCCTTCCAGGTTGTGTTTCTCTGGTGTTTCCAGCTGCTCTTCATTTTTCCTATTCTGTCTTTCCATCGTGCTGAGACTAGACTAGAGCTGACAAGCTGAGAAGGTGTTAGAAAGGTACAGGATAAGGCCTTCAGCTAAGAAAATGCTCACAGTTCTTAACTGAGTTTGGAGGGAAAGAACTGTGCAGCCCTTTCATGCCTCCTTGCTGTCAAGCTGCATGCAGGATCTCTTTCATTTGAGAGTATGTACTGTTAACATCAGAAGTGTATAGACATATCATTTGCCTCCTACATTTTTAACAGTGCAAAGATTTTACTGAATGGGTTCCCAGCAGCTCAAGGATGAGTTTCATAATAAATCCTCTGCAGACCTAGGGGTTCTAATTGACAAGCAGCTGAATGAGCCAGCAGTGTGTCCAGGTAGCCAAGAAAGCCAATGGCATCCTGGCTTGTATTAGAAATAGTGTGACCAGCAGAAGTAGAGAGGTGATTGTCCCCCTGTACTTAGCACTGGTGAGGCCATACCTGGAGTATTGCATCCAGTTTTGGGCATCTCAATTCAGGAGAGATATCGAGGTGCTGGAATGAGTACAGGAGAGGGCAACAAAGCTGGTGAAGGGCCTAGAGAATAAATCTTATGAAGAATGCTTGAAGGAGCTGCGAATGTTTAGTGTGAGAAAGAGGAGGCTGAGGGGAGACCTCATCAGTCTCTACAACTACCTGAAAGGTCATTGTAGAGAGGTTGGTGCTGCTCTCTTTTCACAGGTAATAAGATATGGAACAAGAGGGAATGGCTTCATCTGCAACAGGGGAGGTTTAGACTGGGCATTAGGAAAAATCTTTTCACAGAGTGGTTAGACACTGGAATGGGCTGCCCAGGGAGGTGGTTGAGTCAGCATACCTGGATGTATTTAAGGGTCGTTTGGATGTGGTGTTGGTGGACATGGTTTAGGGGAGAACTTGGTAGAGTAGGGATGATGGTTGGACTTGGTGACCCTGGAGGTATTTTCCAACCTGAATAGTTCTAAGATTCTATGATTTGCTACCTTTCATTAGAATAAGAAGTCTGTTCAGTGATCTTTGCACTCTCAGCCTGTGCAAAAGCCCTTGTTGCAAGATTTTCCTTTTAATATTCTGCTTGAGTAGTCTTGAGCTCTTTTTCAATTATTTCTGTTCTGTGCTTCATTTTACTTATTCCTTTAGAAAATGCCTTGTTCACAGGATTTTTTTCAGGTTTTCCAGTGAAATAAAAAAAAGATCTTTAGCTTACTAGTACTGTTCTTTGAAACCACCTGTGCTGTTGTTGCTGGAGCTACACTGCTGAAGAAGCCCGTGGGAGAGGCAAGTTACTTCCAGATCTGAGAGGACCTTAAGAAACAGGAGGCAGAAAAGTGACATTTCTTTCACACATTTAGTATTTTGATTAATATATATTTAACGAATATGCTTAGGCATAGTGTTCTGGTTTGCTGAAATGATGAACAAGGCGAGTACTACTGATGACTCAGAATTGAAGCCATTCATGTTTCATCAGCTGCATCAGCAAAATTCAATTTTGCAAACCCCCAGGCCAAGGACATATAACTGTCTTTTCTGTTGCTGCAGATCAGCTCCCTCAAGTACCAGCTTCCCTGAGCTAGCCAGAGCTACCAGCTTAGAGAGCTTCTGAGGCCTGAGATGCAGGATGGCAGAGAAGCTCCTGCTTTGGGCAATGGTGCAGTCCCTCAGTGGGGCCAGGTGGAAGCACTCAGCTGTGGAAAGGGAGTGCTGGGAAAGGCAAGCACAGAGCAGGGACAGCTGCACCAGCTGCCATCTGTGGCCACCATGAACTGGGAATGGGGAGCTCTGTGAGCCAGCAGCCTTGGGCCTCTCTTGAGAGTGGTGCACAGGGAAGCCCCTGCTGTTGTCACTCTGCCTGGTTTTGCTGCTGTTATAGGTGTGATATTGTACGGAACAGGCCTGACAGGGTTTGCAGATGTTGATGGTACTTTTATTGAAACTGACATAGATAACCCTTGAAAAGATCTGAAGAAGAGCCCAATGTTTTCTCTGATAAAGTGGATATTGCCTCCATCTGTAAAGTGGGTCATGTTTTAAGGAACTGCAACTTGACTATGCTATGCCTATATCTAAAGCTGGACTTGACTTCCATGCTAACAATTTGTTGCCATTGTCATTTCTGTTAAAAATAATTGTAGGCAAATTATTTATATAATGAAAATATCCAAATAAACTGTAATTAAAATTACTGGCTCATATTTTCCAGGGCACCAAACTGCCACTGAATTTCAAGAATGGGGAGTATGCTAGACTTTTTAAACCTTGGAAAATCTTGACTTCAAACTTTTTGTGCTTTTAAATACATTCCTCTTTCACAACATGATTAAAGTTACAAATTTCTGGCAATAGTATTGCTTTTAATCACTTTATTAAAATAATTATGCTATGTAAATGTATATTTGCTTAGATAACTCTTTGATGAGCTTTGATTTATAAACATTTTGTCTTTCAAAGGTTCTGCATGAGTGCCTGTCGCTAAGTGTGTGTGTGCTGCAGCTGTGGCAGGAGACTTCTGATGAGTCAGAAATCTCTAAAGGGTCCCTTGTGTTCATAAATTACCAAACATCAAGTGCTCAGGTGAAGGCAGGTGCAGGCTTTGGAGGAATCTCATTTTAGTTGAGGCTTTTTGCTCTTCTGTTGTGTTTGTGATTTGCAAAGTTTTATTTTGCATTGGAAAGCTGGGTTGCTGTTTTACACCTGGGAAATTGAACGAGTGAACAACAGCAGGGTGTTAAGAGACATAGCTCCTGCAAGAAATATGTGAATTTTGGGAGTAACAAATTAAGAAGAGCATATTGAAATCAATGAGTGAGACTGATGAATAGTTTTCCTCTTTCTTTCTGCATGCTGTTTTTTGTTTGTACTAATTTAGTGCAAGTACATGTATGCTGACAGCCAGTATGCTAAATGTCTGAGAAATGAGTCAGAGTTTGGGAGAATTTAGGACTAAGTTCTGTTATATGGAATAGGCTTCATTCTTTCTGTCTTTCTGGATTATTTTTTTTTTCATTGCCAGTAATTTGGGAACATGACCAAAATGTTGTGTATGTACTTGACCTGATCTAGAGAAACAAGATTCTAATAGACACTGCTCACTGAATGGAGCAGTGGTCAGGGGCCAAGAGATCATTAGCTTAATTACTGGCTGTGTCCCAGGCTTACTGAGTAATCAGTGGAAGGTCTTTTCTCTGGCATGTGCCTTTCTTTTCCAGTATCATGATCCAGGGAGTAAAACAATATTTAATAGGTGGTCATTTTTATGAGGAAAATGATGGAGTTGGCATGCTGTCTTTAGTTTTTAAATGGTAATGAAAATATCTGTTACTTCTTTGTCATATATACAGAGCTGTTCTGAAGTAGAAAAACCAACTGAAAGATACATGCTTGTAAAAATATGTATACTGTTATATTAAATGCCTGTGCCAGGTGTCTTTTTCTACAGATATGTTTATATAGTGGTTTGGGTTTTTTTTCAGGCGCTGCTTGACACTCAGAATCTTTTGAGAGCTCAGATTGCAAATTTCACTTTCAACCTGGGATTTTCAGGGAAATTCTATCACACAGGTAAGAATGAAATATTAAAATCACTTTCCATTCAATGGTATTCTTGTAGTATAAGGAAAATAGAAATTATAGAGACCAAGGGTCTGACTAGAGAGAGGAGTTTCCTTCATAATAGGGTAACTACAAAATCAAATTGTTCTTTCTTCCAAGTTGCTTTTGGACACATTTTTGGATATTTATCTCCTATCTTATTTTACTGGATTAATTTTTTGTTTTGACCTGTCTGAAAACAAACACATAGGTAGAATGTTTAAACACTTCTTTAAGGCAATTTTCTTTTTTTGTTGTTGTTTTGTTTTGTTTTAGAAAAGTGCTCATTCTTTGCATAATGGTCCAATAAGTAGAGCAATGACATGGAAAATAGGAGAGCCAGGCTGAAGTTTCTAAGATAAAGACTAAAGCCTTCAGAAAAGGGTCCTGTCAGACTATTAGGTTTCCTGAATAGGATCGATGTTCCTCCTTCTGCAAGCCAGGACATGCAGAAATGGCAGTCACAGGGCAGGGGGAGACCTTGCAAGAAGCAGACCAAGCCTGGGGTGACAACTTTCTGTAGGGGTTCTATGTGATGTTACGTATGTCATTAGATAATAGTAAAGTCAGTCCTGAGAGAGGAATAAAAACATCTCTTACTGTTTCTGTGTAATTTCATTCCATTTGAGCTATCTCAGATGCTCACTACACAACCTCTCTGAGGAAATGGAGAGAGGGAGAGGCACATAGAATAGGTGAACTGGATTTTTCCCTGCATCTGTTTCCTGAGTACAGAAGAGAATTTAGGTGGGCTGGAACATTTCAAGATGAGGCACCTGTAATTCTAGTAAGCCATGGATGCCTGTGCTAGGCCAGTGTGGAACAGATCAAATTGCCCTCCCCTTTTATTAAAATTCAGCTCCTTTCATCTTGTTGTTGAGTGATAAATTCCACTGATCAAATGAAATTTTCTGTTGACTTAATTGGGAGATCTGTTTAGCTACCCGAGTTTATCCTTTTAGGTAGTTTAATCTCTACTGCAGAGATACAGAAATACTAAATTTATTAAAATTATTTTACACTTAAACCACTGGAAAAATAGGGAGAAAATTCACTATGATAAGGTATTAAATCAGATGTGATAGAGAAGAAAGAAGGTGTTTTCTACTGACAAAGAGAAAGAAAAAGACAGTCATGCAAAACAGGATGTCAGAGCCTGGAAAAAAGGACAAAAAGCAACCCAAGATAATGTCATAGTTGAGGGATATAAATATAAAAAGATGGAAGTGCAGTGACATGTTAGCTCGGTCTAGGAACTGGAACCAGATTTGTTCCAAACCAAAGTAGGGTAGACAGAGCTTGAAGATGCTCGACTGCTGTGCAGTTACATAGCAAAAGGATGAGCTCAGCTGTGCATCTTGGTTAGTATTACTTGTCATGTTAAGAGGAGGAAAGAAGTCTGTTATTTAGAGCTGAACAGCTGGAGAGAAAAGCAGCTGGGGCTGCACAGTCTCTCTGCAGGTCTGAACTCAGCAGGGTTCAGCTAGACTTGGTAAATGTCCAAGTTTCACCCATGCAATCAAGGTGTCATCTTCACAGTTTGGAGAGACTAAGAGATGCTTAAACTTTTTTGCATTCAGGACATCACATGCTGCATGCATTCCCATCCCTTCCTGCCTTTTCTTTTGCCTAGAATGGCAAAACTGTCGTAACTGCCAGGTTTCTCACCTGCCACTGTTTCAGCAGGCAGAGTTACTTTCCAGACCTTTTGCTTCAGTTGACAGTTCTGATGCTTTGAAGGGAACATGCAGGTGGCTTTCCTCATTTTGGCTGAGGAGGATTTGGCAAAGGTATTACATGTTTGTAGTACAAACTGACCCAGTTACTGACTGTAAAGTGAATGAGTTGAGTCTGTCTCCATTACAGCCCATCCCTTGCTGTGGCTGTCTTCTTTTCTTGATATGGTTTCTTCTCCCTCATCTGGCTATTGTATGACTTTTAGTGTGTGAACATTGATGACACAAGGCCCCATGGACTCACATGGAGTCCTAAAATCTGGTGATCCTACATTATATTGATACATCTTTACATATGTCTGCCCACATTTTTCATTCACTGCTGTAGTTCCCTCAGAGGTAATGAGGAATAAAATCACATCAGTAAAAGTGTGTCAGACAGGGTTTATTGAAGGAAAGGAAAAAGCCAAAGGCATGTAGGGTTAGTGAGAGTATGGCAAAAGACATCAGAGCTGAATGTTTGGCTTAGAGACTGAAAAAGGAGAGTAGGAAGAAAGGATTTGTCGTGTTGACTGTTCATGGGAGTAAGAGCAAGCAGAAAAAAAGGAAGCAGGCACAGTGTGAAGATGTGTTAAGCTACAGGTTGTCAAAAGTTTGACTCATACAGTCTGTATACGGCAGCCCATTTAAGGCTTATTTACATTTGGCTGGCTTTGACAGGCCTCGCCTGCCATTAACAGTGCACAGGGACTAGGATGAATGTCTGGCCTTGGGAGTGGAAGGAGTGTCCTGATCTGTCAGCTAATTATGCTCTGACACTTCCCATCCCTCTGGTGCTGTCAGATGCCCAGGTCAATCTCCACGGGTGGGTTATGCAGAGCCGAGGCACGGCCCAAGCACCTACAGCGGGTTGTCACTGCCCTCGGGTCACACGAATGGCCTCTGGAGTGCTGGAGGTCCCAGCCAGCACCCCCGTCTGCACCTGGGGGAGCAGAGGCTGCCCCAGCGGGGGCTCAGGGAGAGGTTGTTGGCCTTGCAGGCTGGAAGGATTCACGAGGGTGAAGGCTGAGGGTGGGAGGCCGGCCCCGGCCTTGCAGATGTACCAGGGTACCAGAGGTGCTGAAGGACAGGCAGGGTGTGCATGGCCTTAGGGATGGCTGCAGGGCCTGCTCCCCCCACTGCCTCCCTGGGGACATGCAGGAGGGTGGCTGAAAACACAGGCCCCAGAGACATCTTACCCTTTAAGGCTCTCCAAAGATGCAGATTTCTGCGACCATGAATCAGAAAGGTAAGAGCTAGCAAGGAAGAGAAAATAATTGTATTAGGCATAAGACTTTGAAAAGACTGCTAGAAAAAATACTTCCATGTATATGAAAGGAAAATAAGTTTGATGGGGGAGTGAGTTTAGTTTGGATAAGGAATACCAGAAAAGAGTTGTCAGCATTTTGATTTGTACTCTGTATTAAACTGTCTAGTATACAATTTCCCTGATTCCACCCCTTTCCTACTGATGTTACTGATACAGCACAAGTGTGTGAGGGCAGTGTTCTACCATGCATTTGAGATGCCATGAAAATGGGGCTTTCAGTCTTTTACTTGGCTGCAATTACTCCAGGAAAAGGAATATGAACTTGGAAACATTTAAAATCACCAGTACTTAAAATGGTCACATTTTATTATTAGAATTTCTTTCTTATATTTTCAATCATTTTTAATAATATAACAGAAGCAGAGACGTAAGAGATTATAATTTTTTTTGCAGGCACTGAGGAGGAAGATGAAGGTGATGATCTCTTGTTGAGGTCAGTAGATGAGTTTTGGTGGTTTCCCCACATGTGGAGTCACATGCAGCCTCACCTCTTCCACAACGAGTCGTCGCTGGTGGAGCAGATGATCCTCAACAAAAAATTTGCCTTAGTGAGTTCTATTTTTGCACATTATATTGAGTTAAGGTATTCAGAAACCATTTTTCCTATTTTGTTGGAAAATCAATCTTTATAGCATTTGTTTTAATCTGAAGGAATTGAAATAAAGACAGTTGCTTTTTGCAGTCACTATTTTGTACTATGAAAATTCTGTTTCTCTACAGTTTGGATTTTCTTATCAATTGAAGTTTGTTTTTTTTCTATTACTCTATGAAAAATTTTGAATGCAAAAATTCTTTCAGAATAAGAAATTAATGTTTCCATTTTAAAAATTCAATATAGATAAAAATCAGAGAATCATAGAATGGTTAAGGTTGGAAGGGAACTTAAAGATGATCAAGTTCCAACCTCCCTGCTATGAGTAGGGACCCCTCACCCCAGACCAGGCTGCACAAGCCTCATCCAACCTGGCCTTGAACATTTCCAGGGAAAGGGTTTCCACAACCTCCCTGGGCAACAGATTCCAGTACCTTACTACCCTCATGGTGAATAATTTCTTCCTGATGTCTAACCTAAATCTACCCTCTTTCAGTTTAAAACCACTACGTCTTTTCCTATCACTACCCTATCTGCTGAAAACCCCCTCCCCAGCTTTCCTGTAGGCCCCTTCATGTACTGGAAGGCCACTATATAATGTCTCCCTGGAGCCTTCTCTTCTCCAGGCTGAAAAGCCCCAACTCACTCAGCCTGTCTTCATAGCAGTGCTGCTCTATCCCCCTGACCATCTTTGTGGGCCTTCTCTGGACCCTCTGCAACAGCTCCAAGTCTTTCTTGTGCTTCTATTTCAATATTGTCCTAAAGAAAATTTTGTCCAAATAACACGTTTCAATTAGAAAAACTCCAGTTCTCTGAAAGAAAAACTGTTTCAAATAACTTTGGGAAAACACTGCATGTTAGTATTAATGAAGTATGCCACATTTTCAAAGATACTTTTCTGTGATGATATCTAATAACATCTTATATTCCCTTTGGATCAGCTTTACAAACTTATTTTTAAAAGCATTACCTTTACTAATGATTTATTCACAGGAAAGCTCTGGAAAAAAATGTTTCAGTGAGAATATAAGAAAAAATAGAAACAGATCTTGAGGTTGAGGATAGTAGACTAACAGACTTACCTTTTATCTACAGTTAATTTCACACAATAAAACCAAACCACACTGCCATACTAAGTATGTATTATTTGTCTGAAGGAATGTTCCATTGTAAAGACACAGAGAAGTGTTATATCAGAATATCTTCTTCCTTTTCAAAATACACAGCTTGCTTTTTAGCTGGCAGGTAATGACTTTGTTCCTTGAAAGAGCAGGGGGACTTGAAATACCAGAACAAAAAAGAGTGCACTTATGGTCATGTGTCAGTGAGTGCAGGAGGAAGGTAGAGGCTTAGAATATCAATCAGGTAATATCTGTATTGGAGAACTTTGCTTTTAAGTAAGTCATATGCTTTCTTACAACTAGATTTTACCAAGTTTACTGTAAACTGTAGTTGTACTGAGTACAGACCAGCTCAATGTTAATGTTTCTTTTAAAGAAAATATTTCAGTAGAAGTTAGAACCATGGAAATTTAAAAATGCTCTAAATTTCCCTTTTTTCTATTTTTCATTGTACTGTTGCAACCCACTGGAAATTAAATTAGTTCTTGTACTTCTGGTGTGACTTAAGACATCCTTTGGGATTGCTCTACAGTATGTAACCATTAAAGTATGCGATTAGAATCATTCTTACTCAGCCCTGTTTTGGGTAACTTCATAAATTTATATTTCCTTCACTACTTTGAATGGTCTTAATATTTGCAGATACCTTACATTAATTATTTTTCATGTCTGAAGTAATGTATAGGCATATAGACATGAAGCTACACATCATATTTCATTTGCTTAAAGCACATAATTTAGTAACAAAGTTAAGTATTGTGCTTTTTTTGAAAGAGACTGAAGTTGCTGATGCTTCATGCATGTCAAACTGAGTGTGTACATTGTGTGTGAAATGCTCAACTTGGGAATTACAGTCACTTAGAATAACAGAGACACTGATACCTTGAAGATGATAGGCTCATAATTAGAATGAAATATTTTAATTGCATATTTATTACTGTATATTGTAAAACATGAGGGAAAAATCCCTAAAAATCAGACATTTGTTTATAGCTGAATGAAGGAGATTAAATGGGACATTAGAGGATGCAATTTCTTACATCTTCTGTAAAGATTTTTCTTTCTGATGTTTATGCATGCTTAAGGGAAGAAGAGAAGATAAGAGGAACTGAAATATCTACCATGGAATTCAATAGTGGAAAGCTGTATAACTGATGGTGTATCCACTCTTTATCTCCCTGTGCAGTAAAACCAATATGCCAGATCTTACTCATTCCTACTTTGGCACACTACACATAGTAAACCCCAGCTCGAAACCAGCAGACCACCTGCTCCATGGGTGCAGCCAGGTTGCTGGTGGGGTGTTTGGATCTTATCCAGGAGTTGTATAGCCTTCAAAGAATTCCAAAAGCAGCACCACAAAAAATAGGCCCCATTATGGTGCTGTAAATTGCTACAGGAAAATAATAATTTCACCAGCTACGTAAGTAAGAAAAATCGGGGTGCTCAGCTGAAATGAAGCCAAACTTGTCTGTTACACACGTCATTACACTAGGTTCAAAGTAGCCCTTTGATGAGGAAAAAGTAGCTTTCTTCCCTTGCAGGCTTCACAGCTTTAGCGTTCTTACTTTTTATTTTCTCCCAGAGCAGGAGCAAATGTTGCTTTCTGTGAGTTTCCTTTGTTTTGAGCTGTTAGTAAAGTTGCTATATTTAAATAATAACAGATATGTCTAATATAGATCCTGACTATTTAAGCTTTTGAAATCCACCACATTGGCTTTCCTGCAGTAGTGCAGTCCTTCTCCAGAAAAGGTGAAGATGATTTTACTAAGGTCAAACACCCATTTTTCTTTGAGATAAGACTTGGAGAGTTCTTCATATTCCTTAGTAGCAAGTTTATTCAAAGGAAGAGACCCAAATATCAACCAACTCTTACCTTTGCACACGAAGTATTATTAGAAAATATAGAGATGACAACCATACAAACAGTATTTAAAAACTCTTCAACAGAATTCAAAGGCTGTGTGCAAAGGCAGTTTTCCTAATTCATTACAAAATCTTATGGACGTTGTATTCTGCTAGTCAGACTATCAAATATCTCTTACACACTGTTCCTTTGAAAAGTAACCTGAAAGAGAGGAGAAAGGGTGTCAAAATGCATTAGAATATGCTGGAAACTAGAACTGGAAAGAAAACACTGAATTTCAAGAGAAGGTAATACCAGCAAGGTCAATATGTAAACAAGAGAAATGACAGGAGTCTGCAAAAATAGAAGATGTACTACAAAAGGGGTTAGTCTACAACATCTGCTTATTATCCTCAGAATTTTACAAGTGGTTATATTTTCTCCTTTTTTTTAAATGATACTGAAATGTTTAAGCTGCTTTTTTAATCTGCTTTTATGCTTCAAGTGGACTAGAGGAGCAAAGCAATGGCTTTCTGTGAAATTCAGCTAACAATCCAACTTACTGTGCAGGGACATGTAGTGGAAATCTCATATTTGTTACTGTAACTGCCAGGCGCTACCTGTTGTGTTGAATATGTGCCAGGAACGTTCTCTCTGAATTCTTAATTTTTGAGCAAATTCCTTGCAAGAATTTGAAAAAGTGCAACTTTCTGTTTAATGTAAATTGAAGAAATCGATGTAAAAATGCAACTATATCACTCTTATTACATGCTCATAAAAATAATTCTTAAAAGACTTTAATACTAAAGTCCTGCGTTTCATCTTCCAGTGCTGCCTTCCATCTCTCTTACATATCAGCATGTTTTGTTACCACCATGATTTGCATTTTAGACCTGTTCTTGATATCCCACAAACAAAGGATATGAGAAATGCCAAAACATCAAGTTTCTTAAATTTTGAAAGCAGTCATTGTTCGATTACATTTTAGGAACATGGTATTCCAACTGACTTCGGCTATGCGGTGGCTCCACACCATTCTGGAGTCTATCCAGTGCATGTTCAACTTTATGATGCCTGGAAAAAGGTGTGGAATATCAGAGTTACCAGCACAGAAGAATATCCACATCTGAAGCCTGCAAGGTATAGACGAGGCTTCATCCACAAAAATATCATGGTGAGTTGTACTTACGATGTTCATATTACTACCAGTCTACCATTTTATGAACACTTTATTGTTAAGTGGAAAAGCAGGGTATCCTGAAAGTTCACATTGTGAGAAGCACATATTGCTGTGCATAAGTAGCAAGATATGTTTGACAGTATCTTGTTAATTAAAGTAAATCTGTTGCTGATGATGTTACTGCTAATGAAGTTGGCCTCCAGGCACCCTGCTGTTAACAGTTAACAGGCTAACTGTTCTAATCTTACTGTTTAGTACTGGTTCAGATCTCAAGGAAAAAGTATGCTTTGCATCTTTTAACAGAATATTAAGGGTTAGACTTTTAGCAGGTTTTAAATTTTCATAGTATCATTAAATGCAAAAGAGTTTTGCCAATTTATGTCATCTGAGAATCTGGATCTTGATGCAGAAATATTTTTTTTCTACCATTGTCCTTACTTTGCTTCCTGCCATACCACAGTGTGAACTGTGGCTTAACCCCACAGCAAGGCTTTGGGCCTGGGAGATCAGTCTGTATGAAGGGCAAACATCCAGAAGGTTGGAGGAAAGGAAGACACATCCCACACCCTGATCCAGGCGATGAAACTACTCTGTTGAGGCAGCCACAAGTCAAATCCCACAGTTTCTCTGCATTGCATCATTCACAGCATTGATCACTGACAGCAGCGTTTGCCAAAAGGGGTTATACACAACTGACATGGAAGGCGTTATGCTGACACCATCTGGTCACTGGGGCGTGGGCTATTCCTGGTTTACATATTGTCATTATTGTCTGAGAAGTGTTTCAAAACAACTTTCCAAAATACTTGAGGGTATGTTCTTGAGTAGCTTTCTTTTGGAGCTTGTAGGAGAAGAGCCAATGGGAAAGATCGTAGTGTGTGCACTGTTATCCCTCTGGCTGCTCCACTCAGCTTCTAACAGTATTCTGGTATTGTCGTCAAGTTACCATGGATACCACTTTTCTAAGCAAAATAATAATATTTAAAAGTTTTGGTCTATTTTTGGATGGAGCAAACTAAAACACATCCAGGAAAAAAAATAAAAATGACAACATACAGATTTAAGCTACAGTTTGTTCTCCTCAGAGCAATAGCTGCATACAAAATAATGGGTTTGTGGATATGCTCAGGGGGGTTGAAGCATTTGAGGAAATCTGATTGACTCTCAGAATCTCCACAAATCTCTTTCATAAATTTTTGTGAAAACATGTCATCTGAAGACACATAATGAAATTTAACACAAGGACACTGGGGCCAAAAATCTACTTCCAAGAACAGTTGTATAAAACAACTTGTTTTGGGAGTCTCAGCTTTCAGTTCTCCAGGGCAAATGCATTAATATTTCACATCTGCAGGTTTAAAGCAATAAATACATTCAGTAATAAAATCATTGTTTAAGATTTGCCAGAGCATTTCCAATCCAGTACAGCTTGATTCCCTGCCTCTATGAGAATTCGTTCTCATATTTTATCAGTGAAATCCAAAGGTTTTTAAAAAGCATATGCAAGTTTATAGCAAACATACAAATTCCATACATTTTCTGACAACACAGAATTTACAGTCTGTGGTCACAGTATCCTGCACATTACAGAAAAGATGTTGAGAAATGAAACCATGAGAAATAAAGAATATCTACAAAGCTGCAATCTGTATCAAGTAAGGCATTTTTATGCTTTAAAAGTTTAAGCTATCATATACTAAATGTTCTAAAATGGACTAAAATGTTTGAGAGCAATTCCAGTTTAAGAAATATACATGAACATCAATACTTAGCTGTTGATTTTCCATGAAATATAGACATAATTAAAATAGTCTGCAGTGAATTATTTTCTGAAGTCAGTAGAAATTGTTTTGAAGTTCTGCTGGCAAACCTAACTTCATTTTTTAGCTCTTCTTATTCAAAACACTTGTTCTTTGCATGTTTTTAAAAAAACACTTGTTTATGCTAATTATTTTGCAACTTACAAAACTAGCACAGTTGAATAAGAAGCAAAGAACAAATCTTTCTTATAATGTGAGCATTAGAGGCAAAATTTGTCATTTGTCAGTGTAGAATTATCACTGGTGGTGATACCTAAGCAAAAAAAAGAAAAAAAACCAACTTTAAAAATTACAACACACCATCATTCAAATAAAAAGTAGAAGTGATTAATAAAGTTCAGATTGATAACATTTCAGATTATGTTTCAAATTATTTTACAGTTTTCAAAATACTTGATCAAACTTTTAAATACTTGATTTTAGGATCAGGTGCTATGAACAAAATCAGTTTTAAGAGGTTGCTGGATTGTAACTTCCTGATTGCAATCAATTTTCAGTTTCAAACTAAATATGATTAATTTTTTGATGTTATTTATTACTCACTGATAATTAAAATGTTGTTTCTTCCACTCAGAACTACTTAAGGATTTGCCTAACTATTAATTCAACTAGATTATTGTAGACTGGCAGAGTTGTGAATATCAGAAAAGGAACGTTGTCAGTTGTGTTGCTTAGAAGGCATTTATTTTCTCATTAAAAGTATAAAAGTTGGGGTTTTAAAAATTTTCTTGAATGTTTTTATTTATTTGTTTTACACCCATTCAGGTGCTTCCTAGGCAGACTTGTGGCTTATTCACCCACACGATTTTCTATAAAGAGTATCCTGGAGGCCCAAAGGAACTAGACAAAAGCATTCAAGGAGGAGAGTTGTTCTTCACAGTGGTTCTCAATCCAGTGAGTACAGTGTAATTTTGAAATGTTTTTAAAAATTTATTAAAGGAGAAGTTACTGAATGCATCAAGGCTAATCAGCTGGCTTTCCCAAATAGTAATGATTAGTCACAGTGAGCTCTTCTGCTTTTTCAGTTAATTAATTAAAGACCTAATGTTCTGTATGTACAAAAATAATCTCTGCTTTTATTTGACAACTGTTTTGTTAGTAATGCAGTAGTAACAACCTTTCCTGTTCTTCTTTACTTTTGCATTAAGTAAGAATGCTAAGATTTATTTTTTAAAAGAATTCAAGCATTAAGAACTGATACTACTATGTAGTGAGATGAGTACCTCAGGTGCAGTCCATGTTCCTGGTCTGCCCAATTCATAACCAGAAATATTGGGAACACTCATTGGTTTGAGAAAGTTGCAAGCAAGGAAGGCTTGCACTTACATCTGTTTTGAGAATTTTCAGTTACTGATTCATAATAGCTTCAAAGTCTTCCATAGCTTAATAAAATCCTAAGGAAAAAAGCTTCAGTCAACTACTTCAGCCTTTTATATGCAGGCCCATTTTTCAGGCCTTGGATTCTTTCAGGCTATAGTTTTAGTTTTCTGAGAGCAGTTTCTGTGTTCTCTTTTTTCATGTCCACATAGCAGAATTAAGAGATAAAAACTTTGCTCCCACAGCACACACCTGGTTTCCCTTCTAGAGGATGGCAGTAGTCCCAGTCCTGACTTTAATGATACGTATCATTTTAGGCACAGCAAGTTAACAGAGTTGAGACCTGGAAAATTCCTTGTATGGAGGGTATTGAAGGTACCATAGTAATGCTTTGGAAATACATGGATTTTAACCAATGAGGCTTAGAGGAAGACATATAGTAACATTTCAAGTTAGGACAAACTGGATTCCATATGGAAACACAGCCACAACTGAGCCAAAAACTATTCTAACAGCCTACAGTAGCAGGGAAACAGCAAAATTTATTATGGGTACTTGAGGCATAAGCCTTTCAAATTAAGAGAATTAAGACAAGAAGTTAAATAATTATTGTAGGTATTAATTATAGAAGTTTGATCATGCCTGCCTAACATCCTTAAATGTAAGTACAGTAATGTCTTTTTATATATTACAATTAAATCTTCAATTTACGCATTGCCATGCAGACTAGTTCTGAGAAATATGACATCTCCAGTACAATACAGGCTAAAAGAATAGAAGCAAAATGCACTGGTTTTTAAATACAACTGTAAAAGGGTATTAGGTGAAAATTTGCCCAAGGCTAATTGTTGCAATCCTTTTACAGAGTGCCTTGAAAAGGTTTTGCCTCTAGTTTGAAATATCTGCTTATAAACAGTTAATGAAGTTCTAAGCATTAGTCTAGCATGTAATCAATTTAAAGATTAGGGGTTTCATCTTTGTGGGTTTTAAGCATTATATGTATTTATATCATAATTTGCAAGTCAGAGTTAAAACAAAGATTAGGCATTAAAATTAAAACTAAGGAGCTTCAGAAATTTGTCTAATTATGAAGTGGCATTTTGGGTTTCATAAACTTTCCTATGTTTTCATTAACGTTACTGGAATTTCTTAATGTGAAACACCCAGCTTTTTAGAGGATGCAAAAATGCCATTATAAGGCATTTTCTAAACATTATTTTTCATTCATGCAAAACTAAGAAGAAACATTACCTAGGAATCATTACAATGTCAGCTAAATAATATTCTCAACAATGAGCACATAAATATTTAGTTTGCAAAACTGGAAAATGTGGTGTAAATTAGATGTAAATCTTTACAAAGTCCTTCATTACATTTTATGGTGTAATTTGGATAGCTGATTTTAGGTGAATACAGTTTCCAAGATGTAATCAGGCTGAGGCTTTAGAAACTGAGTATCCTACCTTGAAATAAATGCCCCTAAGAATAAAGCCTAAAATTTCTTTGTGGTTTGGCTGTGTAATGGTAGCTATTCACAAGAGAGGCTCTGATTCCTTATAGTGTGCTAGATCAACCACTATCTGCTGAGCAGACCACAAAAAAACAAGGCACCATGTGTGCATCTCTTAAGCTTTTGACATGAGAGCCAGCATTAATTCCCTGTTCCCAAGGCGTGGTACAAGTCCTGCAGGTAAGAAAAGCATGGTGAAATCCTGCTCTGCGAATGATCTCTGCTAGTTGTATTTTATATGGGAACCGAGAGTTGGTTTGTTGGAGTAGCTAATCTTGTGGTTGGCATGCTGTGTTTATGTGGTATGCGTTTATGTCCCCACACTGCTGCTTCAATTGTGATCTGATGGGGGCTCTGAAGTGTTCTTGACAGATGTGCCTATTGTGTTATTGAGGCATCTAGAGTGCTGAGGTGTCACCGAGCTGAAAAAGAGCCTAAGTAGGAATGTAACATGCTATCTACTCTTCCTGTCTTCTGTTAAAAATCTTGCTGACTTCAGCCCTTAGGTGAGATCTTACTGTATCACGATCTTGCACAAAATGTTTTACCGGGAAAAAAAAAAGCCTTCAGCAATCCTGAAGTACACTGGTGTTATTTTCCCCACATTAGCAGTTGAATAATTGACTTAGAGGAGGGTTGTGTGATTGCACTAACTTAGTCATGGAATTCTGTAGCAAAGCCATGAGGAAAACATGCATTCTAGAAGTCTTCCATCACGACTATCTTATTCAGTCAGGCAGCTCTCTGTTTTATAAATTCACATTGTTGGTATTTTCCCTAGCACTGAACTGACTTTCAAACATTCTAGAAAGTATTTTTCCTGATAAACTTGTTAGAATCTTCAGTGACTTCAGATTCATCTATCTCTCTCTGCAATGTTCAGTGAAATTCTTTAAGTAGTTAAAAAAAAACTTCAATGTCTCTTAGAATGAATTGTATCGGTCTCCTAAATATGTCTTGTAAATGATGAAGGCAGTGAGCAATTAGATTCTGAGCTATGTATAATGATGGGGTAGGTACAGATACTGCCATCAACTGCATCATTTCTTCTCAGGTTTGCCAGTAAATCTCTATCAATACAGGCAAGACTATCAGTTCTTCTGAGCTGCTCTAAAAAATAATTACCTAAGAACCAAGCCAAACTAAACATAGCTGAACTGAAGCTGCCTTTATAAAAACTATTTGAATATTTCTATCTGCCACTGAAGGTTTTCCTCACCTGCAACTAGGAACATAAGAACATACTGCTTCTTGATGAAAATATGTCTGTACTAGTGACCAGTCTGTACCATAGCCATTGTTTCTGTAGGTAGTTGCTGTGGAATATGTACAAAAAAATAAACTAGGTGACATCGGAGACCAGAATAGTTCAAAAAGCATTGATACAGTAGACTTTTCAGAGACCTAAGTTACAGATGTGCTTTTCTTAGCACATATTTTGCAATGGATTTAAATACCAAAAAGTTGATTGAGTAAATAAGGCTATCTGTTGCAAAATTATTTGTTTTATATATATAAAAAACAGTTCAGTCATTAACAGGAATATTACAAATCTGACTGTCTTGTTGAGTAGATATCCATATTAAGATACTAGGTTTGCATAAGGCTGTACACCCTTGATCTTTCCAGGAAAAGGAAAAATTGTGGCTGAAACAGGATTCTGCTAGGGTCACTACTTGCATATTGCATCATTTTCTCTAATGATGTACATGTTCTCCCCTGAGAACAGCTATTAGAGATGAGCTATTAGAGCAGCTATTGTCAGATGAACACTTGAAATTCACTCACCTGTCCCACGGGGCTCATGGAGGCTACAGAGGAAGAGGCAAACATGTGGAACAGCTCTTGTTCTCCTGGAGGCTGCACTGGCAACAACCTGAGTTGACACAAATGCTGTCTGTGCTGCACAGATAGTAGGAAAATGAGTTCACTGTTCTATGAAACAACTTGATTATAGTTTAGCTAATTAAAACAGGCGAACAGCATGTTATATCCCATTAACAGGAGAGGTTCCTATCTCTGAGTTTTGGAATGGAATCAATAATCTTAACAAGTGGATCTGCACATTTTACACAGTGTAATCAGTGGGATTTTTCCCATTTCCTTCCCATTGTCATTGGTTTTAATGGGATAATATGTAGGTATATCCGTGTTCCTTATTCTTTAAGGCATTTGACACACTGTGGAAGGAATAAAATTGAAAATAATGCAGAACTGCATAGTGAAGTTATGGAAATCCATACTACAAGATGATCCAGAACACTCTGAAGAATCAATCTGATGTGCAAAACTGGAAACAGTTGACTGAAGAGGACTCTGAAGGACTGAGAAACACTCCAATTTGAAGAGCCATCAAAATGATCAAGGTTGCTTATATTTGAAAAGAGATGAAAAACCCAAACAACTATGAAATTTCATGAATAAATTAGGCAATTAACTCATGTTACCTTTTTTGAAGCAGAAAACTAGAGGATAGCTCATTAAATGAGGATGAGAATTGTAATGAGAATTGTATCAGAATCTTCCTCTGAGGTAGTGTTTTTGACATCAAGAATTTATTTGAAATACAAAATTAAACTTCATTGGGTATTCATGCCTGTAGTGGTTGGTAAGACATGGTTTCCATATAAACTTCCATGCTTTTTGTAACCCTTGGAAGCAGGGAAGACTTTCCTAGGGGATTGTTTTTCACACATCTCCCAGCTGTAGAGTACTCTGTACTTCCTTCATACATATCTCTGATGCCATCTGCTTCTGTAAACAGCATGTGCACTAGATAAACAGGCCAAACACTTGACAAACATACAAGTTTTATTCTTTATATATATATATGGAAAAGCTTTCTGTTTTTCTGAGTGCAAAGTTTCAGTAATAAATTTCATTGAGCAGATCAGCAATATAAAATCAAATACATATCATTGCTTTGTATCAGTTATTTAGATTTTATTGCTGAAGTTTATTACAATTTGATAATCTGTTTGGTTTAGTTTTAAAATGATGATGTGGAAGGTACATTTTGATTCTAAAATCCAATCCAGTAAATCCAAGTTTTCTTAATAGAAGATTG